CAGAATGGAATCTTACTCTCAAAAATAAAATCAGAGTTTATTGTTTGGTTATAATTCCAAGTACAACTGGCTGTTAGTATTCTGCAGGAGACTAATTTTTAAAAAATTCATAGACACACAGACACACACACACATATTTCATAACATATACAAGGATTAAGGGGTCTCTGTATTACTTGGTTCACCAAAAGAGGGCAGTCAAGTTATTATATGTACTATATACTGCATATACAATGTATTATAAGCAGAATATTGGGATTTTTACCTCCATGGAGTCCAAATATTTCAAGAGAATAAAAGACAATATTTAGACTTCAGGAAAATGGATCCCTTTGTTGGTAAATTGTATCTATGGGGAAAGAGCTCCCATTCAACTTTTATTGTCTTAGTCTTAAATATGAAGAGAAACTCTGGAATAATCAGATATCCAATAAATGTCTTTAATTTAAAAGATTAAAACCAAATAATCATCAAAAAATCTATAAGAAATAAAACACAAAGATCAAAATCTAAGACGAAATTGTCCTTTGATATAAAAAAAAGATATTGCATTTATGTAACAGACAAGGTATTATAAATTTGGAATATTCTTGGTAATAAAAAGCGTTTTTGGCCCTTAAAAATATAATAGCAGAATTTAAAAATGTTTCACAGTACAGGAATTGAAATCTTCCAAAGTGGAGAGAAAACAAAAAGAAACAATTTCTGCTTCCATGAAGATGGAGTGGACATACATTTCTCTATTTCTCCAAGTAAATACAACTAAAACTTGGGACATTATAGATGTTAAAAACAAAACAAAACAGAAAAGCAACTCTTAATGGTGGAGAAAAGGCAGACCCATTAAGGACTTTGGGACCTGAAAAATGACATGGTGCTAAGTTCCCTACAATTTTTTTTTTTTTTTGTCTCCTGCACTCCAAGGCAGATGTTGAAGAAACCATAAACCTGGATATTCTAATGAGTGTAGATGAATAAATCTCCAACAAAAACCTGCTCTCTCTAGCCAAAAGACCAGAAAAAAAGTAACCTAATGAGACAGTAAACTTTTAGGCTATTACTGCTCCACTTCAGCCAAATGTCCCAGAAGACCTATGGCCACACTTCCATTCACGTTGCCAAAAGATAAGTGGGGAACCTAGACTTTTCTCCTTAACAAGCTGTAACAAGGTGCTCTAACCTCCAGGCGTGGTGATGTCAGAGAAGATCAATAAGGAAGCTAGAACTTTCATCTCTCCGGGGCAATGATGAGCAACCCTACTTCTAAAGATGGAGTCAAAGGAAATCATGTGAGGAACATACTTCCCTCCCCATATTGTAGTGATCAGGGACAGTCTCAAAGAAGGCCTAGTGGAGAATCAGTATTTTTACTCCATTTCTGTTGGAAGTAGTGTGGAGGTACTCCTATTCATCTCAAATAGGGAGGTAACAGTGGAAGCCTAGGATGGAGCTGAAATCCCTACCTCCCATAAGCCCACCCTCCCAGTTGTCAACAGAGGCCAAGTAGAGAAGCTGGGCTGGTACCCCTACCTCATGTAATGAGGTGACACCCTGTCTTTCTCTGTCAAAGTTGTCTTAGAAAAAGCTAGTTAAAGCAAAAGGTTTAAGTAAAATCCAGAATCTCATAAAATAATACACACCATGTCCAAGTTCCAATAAAAATCACGCATCATACCAAGAACTAAAAAGATCCCAAAGTTAATTAAAAAATGATAGTCAGTGAGTGCTAATACCATGAGGAGAGAAATATTACTAATATCAAATAATTATTTTTACACCATAAAATTGCTTAAAATAATAATGACACTTAAGACAAATGAAAAAGTATAAAAGTCAACAAAGAAATAGAAAGTTTTTGCAAAGAAAGTTCAAAAATAAAGAAGAAGCAAATGAAAATTTTAGAATGAAAAAGTAAAATAGCTACATTAAACATTTTTTTTAAAAAGCATTGAATGGAGGGGTACAACAATAGAATGAAGAGGAGCAAGGAAATAATCAGTGAGCTGGATGAGAGAAAAATAGAAAATAATTCACCCCAGCCCCTCCAAAATGGACAGACTGAGCAATACGTAGAAATATACCAACAGATTGAAAATTCACGGCATTGGATTCTGAAAGCAGAGGGGAAAGTAGGTGGGGCTGAAAAATATTTAAATAAATAATCCAACTGACAGAACTTGACAGAAAATCAGCAAGGGTTTAGAAGACACCATAAACAAACACAGTCTAACCAACATTTATAGAACACTCCACTCAACATGACAGAATATATATTCTCTTCAAGTCTCATGGAACATATATTAGAAAGACCAGGTTTCAGGCTATAAAAAGTCCTTAACAAATTTAAAGTTATTGAAACAATACAGAATATTTTTCTCTGTGCACAATAGAGCAAACTAGAAATCAAAAAGCAAGAAATCTTCAAACACTTAGAAATTAAACAACACAGTTCAAAATAATCCATGGGTCAAGAAGGGGTCTCAAGGAAAGTAAAGCAATTCTTTGAATGAAGGAAAATAAAATACATGTCAAAAAATTGCTAAGAGGGAAAATTATAATAATAAATATATACCTTAGAAAAGAGAAAAAGTGTCATATCAATAATCTAAGCTCCCACTTCAAGAACATAAAAACAAACAAAATAAGTTCAAAGTGAACAGAATGATGGAAATAATTAAGATAAGAGAAAAATAAGGGAAAATCAGTGGAGCAAATAGTTTTTAAAATGTCTAATAAAGGGCACCTGGGTGGCTAGTCATTTAGTGTCCGACTTCGACTCAAGTGATGATCTCATAGTTTGTGGGTTCTGGCCCCGCATCAGGCTCTGTGCTGACAGCTCAGAGCCTGGGGCCTGCTTCAGATTTTGTGTCTCCGTCTCTGCCCTTCCCCCGCTTGTGTGCAGGGCCTCTCTCTCTCTCTCTTTCTCTCTCTCAAAAATAAAAAAAAAATAATAAATAAATATTAAAAAATAAAATTCTGTAATGTATCCATATATTCTGTTTAAAAATAAATAAAATGTATAATAAAGTTGAGAAATTCCTAGCAAAACTGAAAATGAAAAAAAATGGTGAAGACACAAATAACCAATATCAGGAATGAAACTAAGAGAACTAATACAGGCCCTGAAAATATCAAAGCAGTAACAAAGAATGTCGTATAAAATTTTACACACAAAGTTAACAACCTTGATGAAATTGGACCAATCCCTTGAAAAACAATTAGATAATTGGAATAGCTCTATAACTATTAAGGAAAATGAATTTGTAATTTAAAAAAACTACCAAAATAGAAGTTTTCATTTCAAGGTGCTTTTACTGAAAAATTCTACCGCATGTTTAAAGAAAAATTAATACATATTTTACACAATTTCTTCCAGAAAATATAAGGGGAGGAAACAATTCTATTTAATTTTATAAAGCTGTATCCTACTGATACCAGAACTAGAGAAAGATAGCATTAAAAAAGGGGGGAGGGAGAGAAAATCACAGGCTAATATGCTTTATGGAATAAAGAAATTTTGAAGAAAATATTAGTAAATAGAATTTAGCAATACATATTAAAATTATTATATAATGATTAAATAGAGTTTGTTCCAGGGATGCAAGTCTTGCTTAATATTTGAAAATCAGTAACATTATATTGAGTGGTGAAAGATTGAATATTTTTCCCCTAAGGTAAGGTACAAAGCAAAGATCAGTTCTCACTATTCTTATTTATCATTATGTTGGATGTTTTAGCTTCTGCAATAAAGCAAGAAAGGCAAATAAAATTCATACAGATCAAAAAATAAAAAAGACATTAAACTCTGTCTAATGGCAGATTAAATGTCTACATTGCAAATCTCAAGAAATCTAAAAAGAAAACAAAAAGAAAACTCTCCTAGAATTCATAAGTAAGTTCAGCAAATCACAGGATAAAAGATAACATACAAAAAGCACTGGTATTTTTGTGTAGCGGCAACAAATATGGGTAGCCAAAATTAAAAATAAAATGTCACCCACAATTACAAAATAACATATATATACTGAGGTGCAAATTTAACAAAACCTACATAAGATTTGTATGCTGAAAACTGCACATCACTGATGAAATAAATCAAAGAAGGTAAATACAAAAACATGCTATGTTTATGGTTTGGAAGATCCAATACAGTAAATGGCAATTCTCTCCAAACTGGTGTAAAGATTTAATGCAATTCTTATTAAAATCCCAGCAAGATATTTTGTGTATACGCACACACACACACGCACGTGTATGTGTATATATATGTATATATTTGTGTATATGTGTATATATATCTTGCTATTATCTATCTAGATAGATAGATAGTAAAATATAGGGAAAGACAAAGGAATTTGAATAGTTAAAATAATCTAGGAAAAGATGAATAAGGTGGGAAAAAAAAGTTCACCTGGTATCATGACTTATGTAGTCACAACAATAAAGACTGTGGTATTTGTTAAGGGACACTACGGAACAGATAAAGAACCCAGAAGTAGATTCACATAAACATATGCAGCTATTATTGACAAAGGTGGAAAAGTAATTCAATGGAGGAAAGATCTTTTCAACAAATAATGCCGAGGCATTATTCATAGGCAAACATGAAACAACTTAAGTTTAATATCTAATGCAGAAATAACTCAGTATGGATCATAGATTTAAATATACAATGTAAAACTACAAAACTTTCAGAAAAACCTCATAGAATAAAATTTAGGGGACATAAATCAAAGAGATTTGACAAGGAAAAGATAATTAACAAAAGAAAAATTTAATAAGAAAAAATAAATTAATCAAAAAAACCTATTCTGCATCTCCTTGTCTTTCTCTGGCCCCCTCCCCCATGCTCTGTCTCTCAAAAATAAATACAATGTTAAAAAATTATATAACATTTTTGAAATATTAAAATTCTAGAGATAAGAAATTTATTAGTAGTTTCCAGTGACTGATTAGGGATTAGGAGTGGGAGAGAAATGGGTGGGCTACAAATGGGCAACATGAGGGGTCCTGGTGGTGATGGCAATATTCTGTGTTGTGACTATCACTGGCAACAACCTGGTTGTGATATTGTAGTAGAGTTTTGTAAGATGTTACCATTGGAGGAACTGGATAAAAGGAATATGGAGTTTCTCTATATTGTGTATCACAACTGCAGGTGAATCTACAATTCTCAAAAAATTAATTTAAAAATAAGGGCAAGAGGCGCCTGGGTGGCTCGGTCCATCAAGTGTCTGACTTCAGCTCAGGTCATGATCTCACAGTTCCTGAGTTCAAGCCCCATGTTAGACTGTGTTGACAGCTTAGACCCTGGAGCCTGGTTCGGATTCTGTGTCTCCCTCCCTGCCTGTCCCTCCCCTGCTCATGCTCTGTCTCTGTCTCTCAAAAATGAAGAAATGTTAAAAAAAATAAAATAGATAAAATAAAATAATAAGAATAAGGGCAAAAGAAGACAAGGGGAGACAAGTTGGAGAAAGCAGATTGAAAAATAATAATAAAGGATGTGTCCAGGATGCTCCATACGCAAATAAAATAAATTTTAGAAAAAAGGGGAAAACTTCAAACAAATAAAGAAAATTTTACAGAATTATAGAAATGTAGTATTTGGTTTAAAAGGGTCATATAGTCCCTAGTCAATAAATGTATTCTGTCAACCTCGGTGCTGAAAGTAAAGCATGAGATAAGGATTTGGCTGCAGGTTGTTTGGGAGATGATTCCTGAAAGGAAAGGGGTATGGGGGTTAGGGGTGGCAGGGAAGATGAAAACAGAAAGCAAGAAAAAAATCAGCATAGAATGTGTAATCACTGCTGTGGACAGCTAGAGATCAACCCTATAGGGGTATTTAGATGTCCTAATACTTCAGGACTGTTCCCTGGTTTCCAGTGTTGTGATTAAGAAGTTTGAAGCCATTCTGATTGTTGATGTATATAACTTGATTTCTATCTCTATAGGAGTTCTCTAAATCTTCTCTTTATCCACAGTGTTCTTGAGTTTCACAAGGATGTACTTTAACTTTGACACACTTATGAGATATTTTCTGTGCCCTACCTCTCAGCCAAATTTTTGTTATAGCTATGGCTGCAAAAGACCGTTCTCTACAGGTTTTTACCTATATCATCTCACCTTAATGAATTTTGAGACTCTGTATTTTATTTTGTTCTGTTTTTCTCTCTTAGGGAAGAGTTTACACATGAGTTCAAGTGTCACAATGTTAGCCATCAGCAACACTGAAAGCCACTATGTCATCGAGCAATATCTTCAAAGTTTTAAGGAAAAACAATATTTCCAGCTAGAATTCTATGGATAGCCTAGAATTCTATGCTCAGTAAATTAGTACTTAAATACAAGTTTTTAATATACAAATTTTTTAGGTATTCGATTCTCAAAAGATCTACCTCCTCATCCCATTTGCCAAGAAAGTAGAGGAAGAAATATTTCGCACACATTTAGGGAGAAAACTAAGAAAGAAAAAAACTGTGGGATCTAGTGAACAGAGGACTGGGGCACAAAAGAATAAAGGAAACTCCTAGAATTATCGTCAAGGAGATCACAGGATGCGAGCGCTATAGCAGACCTGCAGATGCGAAAGGGTCAGTTCTTTGCAGGAGAGAGAGCTTTTTCAAAAGGTTGCTTAAAAACATGATGTTTTAAAAGCATTGAAAACAATTTTAAACAACCAGAGAATAATGTGATAGAAACTTAATGATAAGTACATAGGAAATGAAGTAAACATACACATAAGACAAATATTAACCCGAGCAACCAAAGAAGTTATCAAAATGATGTTGCACAGGAAAATTAAAAGGAGAACACAGCATGATTCAGCTGTCATAGTCAGCTGTAAGAGTGTTAGTTAGGGGTATTGATGTGAACATTGCATATTTCTCTATTCAAAAAGGCTGATAAAAAAAACCCAGGAAGATGTGCTAATGGAAACAGATTTTACCATAAGGTTAATAAAATTTAAATGTTAGGACCCCCTAACTTGTGTGGAGTCTTACTAATGTGTTCATATGTGCATACATTTTTTTAATGTTTTTATTTTAATTTTGAGGGAGAGAGAGAAAGAGAGAGATAGAAAGCACAAGCAGGGGAAGGGCAGAGAGAGAGGGAGACACAGAATCTGAAGCAGGCTCCAGGCTCTGAGCTGACAGCACAGAGCCCGACGCCGGGTTCCTACTCCTGAACTGTGAGATCATGACCTACGCCAAAGTCAGACGCTTAACCAACTGAGCCACCCAGGTGCCCTTGCAAACATTTTTATAAAGTTTGTGAAAGTAAAATATTTTCATTGCAATGTGTAAAGAATATTGTTTCTTCCCATCTTGATTTCCATTGATCTTAATATCTCTCCAGTTTGATAGTGCTAGAATGACCATGGACATTTAAGATTCTGACAAAAGAGAGGTTGAGTTAGCAACACATTTAGTTTGGAGGTAATGGAATATATTTTTATGATTCCCATAATTTCTATGTATTGTAAAGTCATGAATAAGTACTTAGGTATATGGATGGCTTCCAGTAATATTCCTGCTATCCATTTCAGCTGTAACATTTAATGGATATAAACCAGACTCATGGTAGGTGTATTATGTAGTGTAGTACTGGAAGAATGTCTACAATTGAGGAGAAATAGGTCCCAATGCTGGACTTGAACTCATGAACCATGATATCATGACCTGAGCCCAAAGTCAGATGCTTAACTGACTGAACCACCGGGCACCCAAGCCCCTATACTCTTGTAACATTTTTTTAATCAGAAATTAAGGTGCACAGAGATTTAAAAACTTGTCCAAAATTTACAACTAGACTCAGGCTTGAAAAAGCTGCCTGACAAACTACGAACTCTGAAAAAGACAGTGTACTATTAGCAGCATTGATTTAATTTCCAGTTAATGTATTTATTTATCCTTTAATTAGCTAGAATATTTTGGGTAGACAAAGTGTGCCAAGAACTCCATGCTGTCCAATTTCTCCTCTAATTCTGTAGTTTTGGTTATATGTTATCCACAGAAAGTGTCTGTTATACATTGTCTCTACCTTCATCTAGCATTAACTTCTCCATCACTGTCTTCTAAAAAACTATAGTTTTCTCACACTTTAGTTGTGCATATAGCTAAGATTTGAACAAAGTAGCACAATGTGTGTGTGTGTGTGTGTGTGTGTGTGTGTGTGTGTGTGTGTAATTCACATGAGTAATGTCAGGGAAGTTAAGTGCCCCGTCATTGGTGAAATCATAAGTAAGTATCACAGCTTGTCCTTGAACCTATGTATTCATGCTCCAAATACTATATACTTTCTAATATTCCAAAACGGTTGGCTATCAAGTCAACTAGACTTAGCATTCAATTTAGCAGTGATTAAAGTTAGTAATTCTTAACAGATCTTAAACATATACCACACATATTCTAAATTTTTTGTTGGAGTTTGGTTAGATGAGTAGAAATGATGATTTACATAAAAGTGTATTTTTTAATGAGCCATTTTATTACAGTTTAAGGGTGGTACGTATTCCTAAAATTTTTCACTTGACACTAATTTGCATACTGAAAAATTAGTTGTTGCATAATTTCAAGCAATGAAGAACAACTTGATTAAGCTTGCCATGAGTTTAAAATTTTAACTTTTGGGGCGCCTGGGTGGCGCAGTCGGTTAAGCGTCCGACTTCAGCCAGGTCACGATCTCGCAGTCCGTGAGTTCGAGCCCCGCGTCGGGCTCTGGGCTGATGGCTCGGAGCCTGGAGCCTGTTTCCGATTCTGTGTCTCCCTCTCTCTCTCTGCCCCTCCCCCGTTCATGCTCTGTCTCTCTGTGTCCCAAAAATTAAAAAAAAAAAAAAAAAAACGTTGAAAAAAATAAAATTTTAACTTTGTAATAACTTTTGTTATTACTGTTTCAAGTGAAACTTTTTAAAAAGTCATTGACATGTAATGGTACTTTGTTACACGACAGCTTTGATATTTAAAATTAAATTATATTTACAGCACTTTAGCTTATTTAATAATAGTTTATATTTTAATGTGAAGTAAAACAATGTAAGTTGTATTTACAAAAGCAGACATGTATCATTATTGTTCATGCTTCACTGGATATAGAAATTATACATTGGGGAAAATAAATTTAGTATATTGAAAATATTTCATGTAGTTAATTAATTTTTTCTCACACATTTTTCTAAGCAAATACTTGTGAATTTTTCTTGGCAAAGTATCTTAATTCAGGGATAAACCATATGTCTTAATTTTTAATTTTCTAGAGGATAGGAAATATGCTGAAAGCATTATTTACAGCATGTGATACTTTATACAGATAAATATGTCTCCTTGATAAATGCTTTTGAATATGACAATAGGAGGCAGTATTAGCTGTAAAAAAGGAAATGTATATATCTTACAAGGGGATTTTTACTAAAATATCTCTATATTTTGCAAAATATATTAGTACTTTAGCAATCATAAGTATTTTAAAATTAATATTCCTTTATGTAAAATCATGCATTAGCTTTTTTTATGTGTCAGACACATATTTAGTATCTAGAAACACAGAAATGAATGAAACATCCAGCCTTTGAGTAGTTCACAATCTAGCAAGGAAATCAACCTGTAAACACATAATCAGAGAATGCTATGATGATTATTAGCTCTGTGAGGTGTATACAGAGTAATCCCTGAGGAGAGATAGAAGGTGATATTTAAATTAAACCTATTTAATAGCTACATGGGAGTTGAAAATGATACGATGTTTCTCAGTCAAGAAAAAGAGTTTGTTCAAAGGTATGAATAGCAAAGAAAGATAATCTGAAAATAGAAAAATTAAAAGCTCAAGTTGCTATGTTTTAGTCAGAATTTGAAAGGAATAGAAAATTAGAGGCTAGAACTAGTCTATCTTGGGGACATCAGAGAGCTTCTAAGATTTTAAGATTTAAGATAGACTTGACTAATACACGTGCTGAAAAGACCTGTTATCAGTAGAAAGAATTGAAAGCAGAAAGAAAGAGAACAGGAAATCAAAATTGGAATAAAAACACAAAATTTCATGGAGACCAATAAAAAAGACCTACAGCAAATGAAGCGTGAGATGTGCTGGAGACAATCAAGAATTATTTAAAAAATATATTCAACAACACTCAGTGACTAATGGATGTGATAGGTGACAGATACTAACCAATGATGTGTCTGAAGTTGTTCCTGTGTGACATATTAAAGAATATGGCCAAACGAAAGCTAAAATTATGTATTGAATTCTGAAAGGTAGTCTGAGCAAGAAATAGACATTTGTAAGTAATCCATGTTAGGCATTGTGAAATCAAAAGAGAGAAGGATAGTTCAGAGTGGAAAAGATGCTCAAAGACATAACTGTGGGGCACCCTGACGGTTTACTGGGTGTGCAAATGAGTAACAAGTTAAATAAAATAGTGACATCCAATGGTATGAATTTCAAATGCAGGTTTGAAATGTCAACTGCAGGAGAAAGCCAAGGAAAAGGAAAATTTTCAAGTGTGCTCTCTTAAATAAATAAGGCCAAAATCCTGTGTGAGATTTTTTTTTAAGCCTGACCATAGGCGATTCCATAGGACTTAACTGCCAGGTCTCATGGTGCAAGACTGTCCTCTCCACACAAAATTGATCTACAGCTAGGGCCCTGCGGTAGGTCTTAAGGAAGTTACAGTTAAGGACACAGGTGCCCCCTGGTTGAACATGCTCCTAAGCATAGCTGCTTATGTAGCCCACATGCCTCAATTTGGAGGCTACCTTGTGGGGGCTTTCAGTGGAGGCCTCTTTCAGTTGCCTCTGCTTTATTATGGGGAGGTGAGATGCCTTGAAAATACCTTTCTCTACTTTGACTCAGTACTTGGTACTTTTCCACTTTTACCCTTTTCCTCTCAGATCCAGGTTCATCGAGTCTCAGGAGCCTTTTATTCAGGTATACCCTGGCAATGAGATGATTCCCCAACCTAACTGAACCTTCACTTGGTGTGGTTCTGTGGGTATAAATGGAACATTGATGGTGTGGATGCTTTATTCCTGGTTTCTTGCTTATAGTACTGCAGCTAGTGCATAAAGTCAGAAAGGTTACTTTAATTTGGCTTGCCATTTTCATCAACCAGTTCTCTCCAGCTCAGCTCTTGACAATATGTGGGTACAAGAGCACAGGCCCAGGATGGACGTGGGTTATCTGGAGGGAGTTTCAAAGCAATAAAAGACAGCAGGTTGACACAGTGTAAACCTTCATTAGAGGAAGTTATTATTTACTGCTCTATCAGGAGAGGACTATTAAAAACATAAAAACTGTGCATTAACATTTCTGTAGCTTTCCATAACCCTATAAACTTCTATAACCACTGGCCTCTGGACGAATGATTTCGTACACAGTTTCCATCTAATGAAGGAGGAATGGTGTGCTAATTTTTTTTTTATCATATAGATTTTGAGTAAAATGTGTTTTTATGTGGACAGTAGGGGCACTCTTTAATATTAATTTCATTTTGTAATATATGTCATCTTTACTAATTAGTTATTAATGTCATATTTCATTTTCTGAAATAGAGACAAATTGAAGGACAAACTTTCTTATGGTCTTTGTGTGCTTTGGTGACCAACTTATTGCCTGACACATTATAGGTGATCAATATGTTATTATTGAATGAAATTATTCTCTTATGTACTATGAAAAAATAACAAAACAATAAAACCACTTTAAACTATAACATAGAATCATGTGCTAGGGATAATGTTGATTTTAGCCATGATATTCACAATAACATCTATCAGTTGTTTTTAAGCCCTAGGCTATGCCACTTCTGCAAACAAAAGCAGCAGATATAGAAATAAACAGAGCTTACATTTGATCCTTCGGATTCAGCTCTCCTTAAGCAGAGAATTCCTTGGGCATTCACTTTTATGTGCTGGATTATTTCCTTTGTCACTCTCTCTCTCTCTCTTACAAACTTTTAATTACATTTCCATCAATTTCTATCACTTGATACTGAATAGGTACTGATTACTCTACTCTGTCAAATAGGAAAAGGTTAGTTCTTTGCTCATTTTATAAGTACTATATTAGGCATAGACAAATTGTTTCTTTAACAGGGTCTTGGAAGTAATGAAAAATAAAAATAACAAAACTTATATGTAGTTTCCTAAGATGCAGCATGACTTTTTTAATACTTGTCTCAATATCAATGCTTCTTTGTTGCTATTTTATATTAAAGGGAACTTCTACCAAAAGAGACTTTTAAAGTTGAAAGAAATTTCTATTTTTGTACTGTGCATTATAAACAGAAGATAACTTCAAGTTCTAAGAACTAATGTCTGATAAGAATATCTGTATTTACAGAGAAAGACAGATACCATATGTTTTCACTCTTATGTGGATCCTGAGAAAAGTAACAGAAACCCATGGGGGAGGGGAAGGAAAAAAAAATGAGGTTAGAGTGGGAGACAGCCAAAGCATAAGAGACTCTTAAAAACTGAGAACAAACTGAGGGTTGATGGGGGGTGGGAGGGAGGGGAGGGTGGGTGATGGGCATTGAAGAGGGCATCTTTTGGGATGAGCACTGGGTGTTGTATGGAAACCAATTTGACAATAAATTTCATATATTGAAAAAAAAGAATATCTGTGTTTAAAATAGAGAGCAGATATCCTTGTTGAGATGTCAACCTGGACACAGGCCTCCACCTAGTTACTCTCTAGCCATTCCCACCCTGCCTATAACTGAAATGACAAATGAAATACAAAATGGAGAGAAACCTAAACAAACATGAAATTGGGGAGTGTTTTCTCACCATGTTAGAAGTATTAAACAATTGTTTGCTATGTAGAGTGTAAGGAAACAAAATAATAACAAATTTATGTCTTACTTTTTATCTGAAAAGCATGTCAGGTCAAATGCTGGCAGAGTGCCATTTGTATTCCTAAGATGAACCATGGGACAACTGGGAGTGAGTTTTCCACCTTGGGAATGCCACTGGGAAAACATTCTGGGTGCTTTAATCCAGAAAAAGGAGAGTGCATCTGGCAGGGTTTATTCTTGGCTTAGACTTGGAGCCCTCTTGGAACAGAAGGCTCTGACAGGCAAAATCAGGAGATATGCTGTAGTTGGCTCTCAAGAAGTCAGATATTCCAGGCAAGCACGAGGGACCCTGCTGAGGCTGACTCCTGGCTGCCACACCACCCATTGAAAAGACACACATAGGCAGAAGGCAAAATTCCCTGCCGTGACTGACGCTAGTGTTCCAGCTCCACACCCCACTTCCCAGCTCTCCCTAGTTTATAGCATTTCTTTTCTAATGTGGTAAAAAATCTCTAAATTATATCTAAAATTTTCTTTTCTCACCTCGTATGTCCTTAGACATTTGCACTAGGATCTATATCAATCTTTGACAATCCAATCTCAACTTGAATTTGCTATTAACTCTTATTAACAATGCATAGATTTCATTCTACAAGTGTGAGCTAAGAAAATAACATCATACCTATTAATAGTGTTGTTCTAAGAAATAGGACAAATTAGGATTTTATACAAATTAGGATTCATCTTTTCAAGAGATCTATAAAGAGAAAACCCTAAAGAAAGATTGCTTTCAAATGAAAGAGTCACATGGTTAATTGGAAACTGCAGTACTCAGCAAACAACTGTTTTTATGCTGCAAAAAAATATGATGGTAAAGTAGGAAATAAACGTAAGAAATTCTCCCAGCCCCAGAATTCAGAGCTAATTGTTAGGGAGCAGATGAGAATGGTAAGAAAATGAACAGCCCTGCGGTAGATACATCAAAGAGACCACTCCATACTTGTATTTCTTAACTAAGGTAGTTGGAACAGGAGGGAGAGAAAATGTTCAAATAAATGTAATGAGTGATTCATTGTGGAAAACCAAATCAGAAAATAAAAAAAATTAAACAAAAACAAAAACAACCTTATTACATTAAAAATATCCATATTTAATAATAATATTTAATAATACTTAATAAATATCTATATTTATATTTAATCTATATCACCTATCCTTTTCACTCTATAAAAATCATCACACTGAATATATCCAACATAGAAAATATAAAACACTTATGAATAAAAATTAGATTCCCAACAAATGCCACCTTCCTCACTAAATGCCAATAGATATTGATTCTGCAATGTATTTTATTTAAAAAAAAAGATTATAAACCCAAAATATTATACCTGTCCAAGTAGTCATTCAAGTTACTAGAGACACAAATGCTATTTGGGGAGAAGGAACATTTCCAGGCATACTACAGCTGATGGAAATAAAAATAAGATGAAAAAAATTAAGTATATATGAAGGGTGTTTTTATTTTTAACGACTAAATATTCTATTTTAATGGAAGTGAATCTATTTTAATGGATGTGATTAAAAGACAAAATAGTTTAGGGGCGCCTGGGTGGCTCAGTCGGTTAGGCGTCCGACTTCAGCTCGGGTCACGATCTCACGGTCCGTGGGCTCGGGCCCCGCGTCAGGCTCTGGGCTGATGATGGCCCAGAGCCTGGAGCCTGCTTCCGATTCTGTGTCTCCCTCTCTCTCTGCCCCTCCCCCATTCATGCTCTGTCTCTCTCTGTCTCAAAAATAAATAAACATTTAAAAAAAAAAAAGATAAAATAGTTTAAATATTGGGTATTAAACAGAAAATTATTAAGGTCACTATATATTTAAAAATTATAAAGTGAAGGAAACTAATTATTAAAGTAATTACATCTACTAAGATAAAGATTATACTGACACTGTGCTCATTTTACATTTATATTTGTAATAGAAAATAGCAGTCAATATATGAAGATAACCATATACGTTATGTTAGATGTATTTTAGAAGGAAAAAATTATCATTATAATAACCACGTAATATATTCCTCTCAAAAACATGAAAGACTGAGAAAGGGAAATAAATGACTATTCCCTTTAGTTATTAGTGTATAACATATTTAACATGTAAGTCAGCAATTTTTTATTATATCTCACATTATGTGGCTTAAAAGAATTCAGTGGCTCATCTCTGCTCCATCATGTTTGTTTCCACAGGTGGGAGAACTTCAACAGCTAGGAACCAGAACAACTGGGGTTTGACCAGACTTCCATCTTCTTTCTCTCTATGTCTCTCTTTCTCTTACAGCCTTCTCCCCTTGCCTACCTTAGACTTTACACAGCATGGTTACCTGAAGATACTTACACTACTGATGTGGCAGTGTAGGGCTCTGACAGAAAGGCAGCAGGAATTGCCAAATCCCCAAAAGTCAAGAATGATTGCTGCATCACCTCCCCATATTCTATTGGGCACAGCAGTCACAGAGGCTCCTCTTTTTCTGAATAGGAGCGCCATCTTTGCTCTTAATCTGACACAAGACCCAACGGAACCAAGACTTGGTCTAAGAGGATCTCTGTCACAGAGATGTTGCAAAGATTAAACATTTATGAAATATAATAAAAATTAAAACATTTAATGTGTAATTTAAATGTTGCTGGAATTTTAATTTGATATGTCATTGAATATTCAATTGAATTATAGTGTCTTTCTTTCCTCTGAATCTACTCCTGAACATGCTTGTGTGTGCATGCCTACTTGCTCTCTTCCTTTTCCTCTCTCTCTCCTTCTCACACTCATGCACACATACGCATCACACATATCCATGAATATTTCTTATCTCACTCATATTCTGGGACGCACATACTCAAATATCAGTGCATCCTAAAGTAAATAATAGAACAGATAATGACCTCTCAAAATAATTTAAAGAAAATTTAAAATTAGATTTCACGCATATCCATGAATATTTCTCATCTCACTCATATTCTGGGACACACATACTCAAATATCAGTGCATCCTAAAGTAAATAATAGAACAGATAATGACCTCTTAAAATAATTGAAAGAAAATTTAAAATTAGATTTCAACTTAAAAATAATT